TCTCTCTCTCTCTCTCTCTCTCTCTCTCTCTCTCTCTCTCTCTCTCTCTCTCTCTCTCTCTCTCTCTCTCTCTCTCTCTCTCTCTGTGTGTCCCGCTCTCTCTCTCGCCCTGCCTTGCCCCATTGTGAATGAGCCATGGTGTGTCACTTGAAATGACGAGGGCATGTTCAACATTGAACGTTCTAGTTGAATCTTCTTTTTCTGAAGCCCTTTGGAGTGCATGTCATACGGTGTATTAAGATCCCTCTTTGAGGGTGGTTTTGGAGGTGATCGTAATGGCCATTCACATCTCGTGTCAGCGAGTGGCATTGGCCCGCAGGCAACATTCGCAGGCTGAGCTGAAATGGTGTATGATAGTGGAAACCGTATTGGTGGGTACACAGTTCGCAATGATGTGTAGGCATGGGCAGTTGGAAACATGAACATGTGTCCCTCAGAGACTGCCGAACTGACAAAAGAAAAAAATGCAAAGAAAGAGATGTGAAAAAAAAAAAAAAAAAAGTGCAGCCACGATTTTATACTGTCTATTGAATGCATTACATACCTTGCTGGCCCGTTGGTTTTTGTTTATTGACACTTGCGCCGTGTTTCTCAGTTGTACATACTTTGTGTGTGTAGTGGATTCCTTTGTGTTTGTCTTGTCAGTGGTTCTGTTAAGGACCCTTTGTCGTTTTTTGTGTGTGGGGCGGGGCCTATCCTCCTCCTCTCTTGGTATTGTAGTCTGTCTGATAAAAAGCAGCGAAGACATATAAAAGAGTTTTTTTTTTTCTTAGTAGAGAAAGGATTGCGCACTCTCTTTCTTTTATATGAAGTTTTCCTTTCCTGTTTTAACATCTACTAGACAGCTGATGAGTCGAAAAAGGATTGAAGAAAAAAAGGAAAGGGGGGGGGGGGGGCCCCGTAATTTGCGTGAATGATCAAATTGTCCTTGGGCCCAGCTTTTCAGTTCCCATGGTTACCTCCTTCCTTTTTTTTCCCTTTTTTTTCCCCTTTTTAAGTTCTTACCTTGTTTCCATTCAATATAAAACTGCAAGTTCCAGAAAAAAAAAAAATGGAGCTGTGAAAAACAAACAGACCATCTTTTTTTTTTTTTTAATCTAAAAGAAAAACAGACCATCCCATTTGGAAATTAGAAGTGAAGTACAAAATATTGATGTGTGTGTATGTGTGTGTGGGGGTGGGTGGGCACTCGTGTGCGTGTGTGCGTGCATGCATGCATGCATGCATGCCAACATGCGCATATGTTCCTGTTGTGCAAATCTGATTGAACTGCCAGAAAGAGGAGCTGGTGGCCAATGCAAAGAAAGCAAGGGAAAGGTCCTTGAACCTGGTCAAGTCGGGATTGGACGTGTTCGTCGCGATGGGCTTATTGCAACTGGCGCCGAACACGGTGGATGCTCGCGTAACTGGATTACTAGGGTTTGTCACGTCTGTCATCTCGTGCTACCAGGTAAGAATGGGTCTTGTCATCAGACGTTCATATAAGGAATGCATGTTTTTTCTGGTAGACATACGAGACAATGAATTGAGTACTCTTCTCAGATAAGGAAAGGAAAAATTTATTGTTTTCAACTGTTCAGATACTAGATACTAGTATGCGTAAAAGAAGAAGAAGAATGCTTAAAAAAAGAAGAAGTATGCTTTCCCGAGAGGGCGGGATTCAACTGTTCTTTTCAGGTACTGAGTCAAATAAGGGAGTTATTGTTCGCACGACGCATGCTAGATACAGAAAACATGGGCTGCTGTCCCATCTCTGGGCAAGCTAGATAGATACCTGGGCTACCAACGGTGGCGCCTGGGTCACGTTGACTGCACAGGCGGCCTGAATAATAAACTGAACAAGTCTTTGTTTTACCAGATTGAAAGAAAAAAAAGAATTGAAAAGATACAAGTTCTTTTTGTTCAGTTTCTGGCCATGCTGGGTATGTGGCCTTGGGCCCCTCTGTTAGCCTAGCTAGATACATATTTACTCAAATTAGTCAAATCAGGCACTTTGGTTTTGAAGTTTGAACAAAAATATAGGCAACTGGAGGTCGTGTTGCTTACAAAATACTGGAGCCATGATAAATCATAAATGTTGAATAAATTAGCATTGTCCGTCCTGTCCAGATTTGACAGGTAATTGAATTGGTTGGGCTTCAAAGAATTAGCCTTTAAAAAAAAAAAAAAAAAGAAAGAATAATACTGTATAATAGGCTCCTTTTTTACTCTTTTACTCTTTTATCATTCATTCCAATTTCCAAACCATCGGCTGAAAGTTGTTTTAACCCGAACGATATTACCACATTTGGAATTTGTTTCTTTTTATTTTTATTTTTTAAACAGAACCTCTTAGTTCTGGCTCCTGCCATTCTGGGGAGCGACAGTCCGGGACGTTCCTATTCCCCCGGCAAGTCAAATTGAAATACATAAAAAACTCACTCACGCTCCTCCCCATTGTGGGTGGGAGGCCCGAGTAGACGGCATTGATTACTTCCCGGAGGAAGGATGTGCCCCCTCTCCCCCCTGCATAAGTTAGTCTGTCCTATTTAATCTACCTGGCTGTTTCCATTCTGTCTAACCCCATCCCCACTCCTCTCAGCTGTGATGCTGTCAAGTTTGCATGTTATGCTAGAGTGGGCTGGACCCCCTTTCTATCCTCTTCTTCTTAAACCCTAAATCCTTCGACCCTTAATTGTTCTTCCTACCTCCGAATAGTAACTAAAGTGTAGAGATCCTTGACTCTTAAGGAATTAATTCCCCCCTGCCTCCTTCAAACCCCACCCCTGTTTCCCTCTACTCATATTTTCCTCCTTTCCTCTCCTTACTCCTTATACCCTACTGCCGCTGTTCGACTTCCTCTTTCCTTTACAACCTCGCTTCCTCTCTGTCTTTCCAGACCTACAGGGCCATAGCCATCCCTCCTTGGGCCTTGCTGTAAAGTTTAAACTTGTACTGTGCCCCCTTAACCATTGACTGTCTACTTTGCTCCCGATTTCTCCGTTCTCCATTTAAATCTCAGTTTCCCACTCTGAATACTAGCTACCGCCCCTTGGCCCAGTACGTTCTGGATGAATCTGAACCTATGTTCCTCTGCCTTTTCCGCTTGTTGCTGGCATTGACTCCCACCCTCTTCCATTGTGCTCGCAGATCAGTTTCGATTAGGGTGAGAAGTATTTCCTTTGCCTACTGCCTATGCATCGTCCGCTTTTCAAGAGTGATTTGGCATCGCCGTTTCCAGATAGCCCAGAGGCTGTATTGCCTGATCCGTTGAAACCTGTGCTTCTCATTTTGTTGCCATTGCCTTGGAAAATGTATTCCCAAAAGTAGAGTGCTCTTGATCGCCTGAAAGGGAGCCCGTGAGAAGCAGCTCCATATAGTCTTGGCTTCCTCCCATAAACTGTTCGCCTCCACTCATTCCAACAGACAGTGCAGCATAGTTTCCGGCGACCCTGCTTGACATACTGTGCAGCGAGCTTTATCTTATCTGGGTCCCTCTGGGCTTTACTCCTCTCGTTTAGCCATGCATTTTCCGGGAGTGCCACATGAGCTATTAGCCACTGCACACTTTCTGACCCTGCCCAAACGTATAGAGTAGTTGATCCCCATCCATGGCATTTTGGGAATTTGGGAATTTGATTAGGTAACACCCCTACCCTGTTATCCCAGCGCTTTGATAGCGATGCCGTCAGGGAATGAGATCTCCTTCGCAGTCTATAACCGATTCGAGTGGTGTAATGTAGTATGTTGACCCTTACGGCTACTCCCATTCTTCGACCTCTAATGTTCCACGCCCATTCCCCCGGGTCCACCTTCAGTTCCTCTACCGGTAGAGTCGGGCATAATATTGTATAGTCCTCCGTCTCCACCACTCTCACCGTACGTAGGTGTTGCCATAGGATAGTGATTGGGGTTTTAGAGTCCCGGTCTAGTGTGCTAGTGGTGCTACCCGGATTTACAATGTTGTACATGTCTGCCTGAAGCCATTGCTTTCTTGTTGGCTCATGATCCCAGATTCTAAAAGCTTCGATTGGTTCCTTGTCATGTAGCCATGTGGCGCAGTCTCCCAGGCCCCACTGGATTCCCTTCCGTAGTAGCTCCGTCCACCCTTGTGGTATGGCTGCTAACAGAGTTTTGTAATTCTCCGATAGTTTGTGGCATCCTTTAAGTTCGACCCCAAGCTCCTTATCTGTCTTCCACCGCTTCTCCCCCTCTACCTTATGGCAAGTTAAGCACCACACCCCTTTAAGTTCGACCCTAAGCTCCTCTAAGTGGCATCCTTTAAGTTCGACCCTAAGCTCCTCTAGAGTATGGGGTATATGGCTTAACTTGCCATAATACCCCATACTCTAAAACCACTTCCCCCATTTAGAATCCTTCGCAGCAAGTGTGAATGGTTTCCCTGTTCATCCTTAATACTCGAGTTACAAAATAACGGTTGCCGAAGAGCCTCTTCTCTCGTACGTGGTTCTCTTATCTTGGCTGGGAAGATCTCCTTCCACAGCGTCAGCATTTGAGCCCAATACGACGTCGCCCTGTGACTCTCCTCTGTGTCAGCTCTGTCGCCCTCTCGTCGGCCCACCTTGGCCCAGGTACTACATGTAACCCAAAACAATCCTGACATATTCGGAGGTGCTTTGTATTTGGCCATTTGTCTGATCCTATGAAGTGCTAATGAGATCCAGGGTAGCCTTCGATGGGAAATTAATTTAACGACCCATTTCGTTTGGAGCGCCTTGAGCTGTTGTTCTGGATCCAAAATGCCCAGACCTCCCTGTTCTTTTGGTCGAGTGACGTGTTTCGATGCTACTTTAGAGATGAAGTGAGGTTTAGTTGGATTAGATGAATCTATCTGGAGTCTTTTTTTTTCCATTTTGCAATTTGTACTTGAGTGACCTGAAGAGGTTGTTTGGCCTGTCCGGTAAGTGCCATTTTTTGGGCTGAGTGATCATCCATGAGACTACCGCTCATCCGGAAATATGGCCCTCATCGGACAGCCCAAATCATCTTGAGGTCACTCCAGTACAAATTGTGAAACAACAACAAAAAAAAAAAAAAAAAAAAGGACTTTCACAAAAATGCAGTTTCATGTAAAACAACGCGCAGTGCAAAGATCCGGTGGGGATAGGAGAGCGCAGCCTTCAAGACTTGCCTTCGGCCCTCCTGTTTGGCTCACCAAAGTCATTTGAGATTCTCTGTGTCTTTTTTTTTTTTTTTTTTTTTTTTTTTAAGAGGTGGTAAACAAATGAAAGCTAATAGAGAAAGATTGGCAAGTTTGCTTCTTCAATGGATTACTGCCGCTGCTGCTTTTTGAATTCCAAGTATACGTTTAGCGAATGTTTCCACAACTTTCCAGTTTGATCTTGTTGTTTTAAATATGGAAAGTTTTTTTTTTTGTTTTTGCCACTTTATGGGCTTACGCATTATGACCTCGTGAGAAATGCATTTTTAATTTTTTTAGTTTTTGCCACTTTATGGGCTTACGCATTATGGCCTCATGAGAAATGCAATTTGTTCTGGGGTGAGAAATTCAATGCTTCTAGATGTATTGGGCTACCGTTGTTAATGGTCTGTAGAAGTAGATGATACCTCCAGAGCCTATACGTTACAGTTAGGCACTTATAATCTGCGAGGAAATCGAACCCACTTTGCCCCAAATTTACCCACTTTCTCCGCACTCCCCTCCCTCCCACACCTTCCGTGCCCCATTCCTCCTCCCCTCTGGTGCACCCCTCCTTGACCTTTCATGTTTTTGGAAAACCAGACAACCGGTTTACGGAAAAGATTTGAGATATACCTGATCTTCCTCAGGATGTCGAGTGTGATTGCACACAGTCTGTATGTTTGTTGCATGTTGCAGGCTTCTTGGTGCTCATGCATGCACCTGGCCAGATGATGTACAATGGAAATTCAGACTGTGTCGTTTTCCTATATAGTCAGTACTTAGAGTGCCTAGGGGGGGGGGTCTATCAGAAATGTACCTGTGCTTGCAAGTCTCTTTGTTCAGCCGCATTCCGATATAGGTACGACGGGAATCGGCAAGACGGAGTTTACAGAGGGAAATGAGACGAAAAGTGGTATCATGATTAATCAATAAGTGATTCAGAGACGGGTGTGCTTTCCATTTGTCTCGAAAATGTCTACGTATGAGTTATGTGGGCTTGAGGAGATTGTGTGGAAAGGTTTGGCACAGAGGAAAAACTTGGTGGGTGTTAAAAAAAAAGGAAAAAAAGTGGAGGGTTAGTGGCATGGGGTTGGGTACCTTACTCAGTGTAGTAGCATGGGGTTCGAATGGATCAATCTGTTGTGGAAAAAACTTGGTGGGTGTTAAAAAAAAAAGAAAAAAAGTGGAGGGTTTTGTGGGTACCTTACTCGGTGTAGTAGCATGGGGTTGGGTACCTTACTCAGTGTAGTAGCATGGGGTTCGAATGGATCAATCTGTTGCGGTATGCTATTCAGGGAAGCACTTAGGGAAAGTTGCGCGGTGAATGTTGCGACGGTCTCTGTGTCGAAAGGAGTGTGACTTTATATGGTGTGTTCACTGTGTTGTATGTGGATTTTTCATCCCTCACCCAATCTATTAGTTAGCTGCGCAGGGAAACCCAATCTACCTCTGGGCAACCCAATCTACGTCTTGGACAGGTTGTGAAACAAGCCTTTGCCTCTGTGTGGATATATATCATTCAAATATGTCACAGTGAGGAAACTGTGAAGTGAAAAGCGGTACCTTACCTTGTTTAGCATGTGGATCACATGGGGCAATCACATGGGGCAATCTATGGGTGTGGTGGTGCTCAGGGAAACCCTATCTATCTTTGAGGAAGGTTGTGAGATGAAGTCCTTGCCTCTTGGTGTGATGTGACGCATGTGGCTGAAGCTGGTTTACGTTCTCGTGTGATGAACAGGCTAGTGAGATTAGCAGGCTTGCTTCTGCATCCAGCAGGATAGATAAGGAAAGGAGACGAAGTAGCAACAGCGGCTCTCTGAATTCAAAGCAGGTGCTGTGAATAACTTGGATTGCTTTTGTCGTCATTTCCTCGCTCTTGCTACCTTGCCCTCCAGCCATGGCTTCCACCCTCCCCTATTCCTTTTTTTTTTTTTTTTTTTTTTTAAACCGGTCCCTCCTCTAGAAGAGGTGACCCCTATTTCAATTTAAGCTACTGTCACTCTCTCCGTGCCCTTCTCACCAGTCCTCTGGACTACTGCCGACGACTTCCTTTTCCAAGTGCTCGACCCCTTGCAGGCCTGCCTTGTCTCGAAAAGCACAGCAAACTGTGGATATATGCAAGAGTGTGGAAGGCATTGAATATTGAAATTTGAAAGGGTAAATTAAAGACATTGCACCGCGTGAGACATCCAGAATCACTTGACATCTGTTTGCTTTTGAATTTCGCTTCAAGCGTCTCTAAAGCACATGCGAAGGGCGCCATGAGTGGTGCCTTGTTGCATGTGGTAAACTCGTTTGACTTGGGTCTTGCTTGTGTGTTTCTCTTTTCTGCTCTAGGCCCTTCATATCCCTCTGCAAGTGTACATCTCTCTCTCTCTCTCTCTCTCTCTCTCTCTCTCTCTCTCTCTCTCTCTCTCTCTCTCTCTC